CCCTTTTTTTGTTTAGTTTTGTCAGAGATGGGTATTCCATTGCCATTCAAATATTGTAAGTGCATGAATTCAGCAAAATAATCCAATATAGTCCAGTAGTCCATAATGGTGGTGGGTTATCTGTAGAACTGGCAATGTCAGAAATTGCTGACTTGAGCCTTGTACAGCTCAGCATATTAATATGGCTCTACTTTTTAATACCTCGTTTTTATACTTTTCTGCTGGATGGTTAAGACCAAGATAAAGCAAGACCTATATAACAAAAAATGTAACTTTTGTATCTAACAAGGTCAGTCACATTCCCGCAGGATTTACCCTGTTTGTAGATCCTTTGTCAGTGTCAGCCATGTGGATGAGTCACAGGAGAGAACTATTTTAAATTGTACTAAAATTTAATTTACCTTTCTTCACTGAAGCGACGACCAATCTTTACTTTACATTTGTCCTGGGGGAGGCATGCTTCTAGCAGAGGAACAGTCCGCAATACTTTGTTTTCCTATAGTGAAAAAATTAATTAAAACATAGATTTTAACTTAAATGTACATACTTGTAAAACCTTTATGATGGGGCTGCAGGTGTGACTCAGCAGTGAAGCACTTGTTTAGCATGTACAAGCCCCTAGGTTGTATCCACAGCACTGTAAACTATCTTGTTGCCAAAAGAATTCTAGGTGATTAGTTACTATATAGGCCGTAGGTGATTTACAACATTTTCCAATATTCTCATAATGTTTTTCACTCCTTCTCATTATTATAAGACTTTAATATAGACTTAGTCACTTTCCAAACTTTTTTTTTCCCATAATTTTATTGACCAACTTAAGTCAAATTAAATAGTGCTATAAGATTTTAAATACTATAGCTGTCCACAGATACACTCCCCAGTACCACTTCCAAGAGACAACCACCTTAACTCTATTTCTTCTAAAAGTTATCTCTATTTCTGCATACATTCTCTTCCTATTTCTTAGCTTATCAATTTTAGATATTACCTGTAAACTACCAATTATCATCATCACCATAGTTACCATTAATGTATACAACTGTAAGTGCAATACATAGATACAAATATAGAGATTCATTTACTTTTCATAATAAACCAGAAAAGAAATATATCTTTTACTGAGTCCATTTTATGAAAGAGGCAACTAACACAGAGAGAGGTAAATTAGCCCAAAGTTACAGAGTTTACAAAGCTATTAAGCATTTGAATTCAGGCAATGGGGCTCCAGCCCTCACTTTTAACTACTGCATTTTAAAACTCCAGCCTCTCAAAACAAAGATTCAATTTTCTTCTACCACTCCTTACCCTCACCTTTTAAACTTTTTTTTTGTCATCTTTTTTTTTTTTAAATATTTATTTATTTATTTATTTTATTTATTTTGTGTGTGTGGCCAGCTCAGCCCACCAGGGGGCGGGCTGGCTGGCATGTGGTGCTGAGGGATTGAACCGTGGTCCCTGTGCTTTGCTCAGCTTAGCTTGTTCTAAGTAGGTGCTTTAGACCACTGAGCCATCTCACCAGCCCCACCTTTTAAACTTTAACCACATACCAATCCAATTAGTTAAATACAGGATGACTAAAATATGCATTATTTCATTGTTTTATAAGACAATGTTACAGGAAATATAAAACAATTTTATCAAATTTATTCAACAAGAATCAACTAACATGACACTTGCCCAAGCCACACTCTGGTTAGTCAATACATAAACACACACACCACCTGGTGATACTTGGGTACTCTGTAAAGTGATTAAACTAAACTAATGAATAGTGTTTACATCATTGGGGCCAGGAGATGGCTCAGTGGAATAAGCACTTCCTTGGCAAGTGCAAGGGCCTGAGTTCAATCCCCGGTTCCGCCAAAAAAAAAAAAAAAAAAAAGATACATCATTATAGTAAAATATACACTGTTCACAGAGGCCACAGAGTTTACCACTGCTCTGTTGTAAAGCTTTTTTTTCACACATTTTATATATTTCTATATATTTTTATTATATTTGAATGAACCTTCTTTAGGTTTTTTGTTTGCTTTCTGGTACTGTAAATCATACTCAGAACCTTGCACTTGCCAAGATGGCACTGTGCCAGGTGGCACTGAGCTATATCCTTGGCCCAACCTGCTTTTATCCTTAAGTAATTCTATATATATATTCATATACCTACATTTTGAAATCCTCTATGATATCACTTTATATGATCTGCTCCACCAAGTCTTTTCCCAACATCCCCTTCTAGAGCCTTTCCAAATGGTTTTTAACCATTTTTTTTAGAGTGGAAAAATCAAACTGGCATATTCTTTTATCAAAAATAATTTGCTGAAGTTAATCACAGACAACCCAGTATTAATGAGTTAGATGATGACTGTAGTTCCTTTTCTATAAGGAAAAATATGAATATATTTGTACATCCATGAGTCACATTTGTAGCACAAGCTATTTTTTGACAGATTTTTTTCTAAACTGTAAATTAATAATGGTAAAAAATGTTGGAGGTTTGAAAAGATTAAAATTGTCAAAAAGTCAATGAACACATCTACATTTAAAAGCTAGCTGATGTCTGAAACAACTTTTTTTTTTTTTTTTTTTTTTTTTTTTTTTTTTTTTTTTTTTTTTTTTTTTTGCAGTACAGTGAATTGAACTCAGGACCCTGCACTTGCCAGGCAAGCACTTATTCTACTGAGCTATCTCTCCAGTGGTAAAAATTAGAGACAGATTTTTTTTTTTTTGAGGTGGGGGAGTCCAGGCTGCCTTAAGGGCAGTCTGGTGAGGTTGTGCAGGTGGGGATTGGACTGTGGTCCCCTGCATCAGACTGAGTCTGCCCAAGCAGGCGATTTAAACAACTGTGCCAGGGGCCAGCTTGGAACAACATAAAAATTAAAAGGCACTATATATAATGTAAAGTGATAACAGTATTTGCCATAAAAATTCTTGAACCAAAGTGCTGTGGCCAACAACCTATCACTGCTAAGTTTGAGCTATATACCATGGGATAAGCTCAGATGCAGTTAATATAACTCTTGTGACCAAACTGTTAGAAGTGTAAAAAAATCTTGGTGTTCTTAAACTAAAAAAAAAATTAAGTTGCTCAACAAATGTAATAATAAACTACAATGAAATAAAAGTGTTTCATCATTGGAAAAATAAGAAAACTTAATTAACTTTTTATCTTTATTGAAATCTTAAAGATTAAAAAAGACTCTGAAAATTATTTCTCTTCAAAAGTGAGATTGAGGCAGGGAAAGGAAAAAAGGACAAAAAAAAAAAAAAGAATAGAATGAAAAACCGCAAACAAAGCTTTTATAAATAAGGATGAGAAGGGGGTTGAAGAGAGGGAAGAGAAGAAAAAAAGAATTAAGATATGTATAGTACAGGTTAGAGAGACCTCGTAAGATAGGCCCCGCCACCCAGCCATCCATGCCAGAGTTTGTGGAATCTAGCCACCCCTCCTCACCCAGAAGACTGCCAGGGAGACACACAGTACTACCCAGGCTGCCCCAGCCTTCCTGCCAGTTTCCTGAATGGGGTCACCCCTCCTCACCCTAAAGAACAGGGAGTCCTGACTACCACAGCAAGCTGCAGGAGCCTTGCAGAGCACAACTCTGTGCCAGTACACCATCGAGAGAGCCTTAAACATCTTCAGCATGCACTCATCATCATCTGATCCTTCTTGAACGGCAACATACCTGCCTCTTAATGAGGTAGAATCCACATTGAACTCCACACAGCAGGAGTTATGATGAGTCTACCTTGCTCTCCCACTCTGAAAGCCTTGCTGACCTGCACCATGGCCAACTACGATCACTTCCAAAAATGAAAAAAGGAAGAAATAAAAAGCAATCTCAGACCTCAAGCCCACACAAAACAAATCTAGGAGACAAGGTCACAGAAGAATTTGGGATTCATACACAGAAATTTTAGAGATGATAGCAACTGAAGTAAAGAAACAACTCTATCAGGCCATGGAAGAAATCAGATCAAAAATAATCTCTCAAGGGCCAGTGAAATAGCTCATAGGAATAGGCACCTGCATAGGCAAGCGCAGGAACCATGTTCAATCTGGGCATCACATACCGCTTTGGCCCTGACCCCAGACATACTGAGCCAGCCACAGAGACTAGGTGTGATCGCGTATGCCTGTAATCCCAGCGCTGGGGAGGCTAAAAACAGGAGGATCAGTACAAATCCAACCTGTGGTGAGACCCTATACCAAATACATAAAAAATAATCTCTCAGGTAAAAAAAGAAATGACATTGTGGAAGAATTGTTCAATTGAGAAAAACTACATAAAGAAATAAAAAGGGAGGGCTGGCCAAATAGCTCAGCAGATTAAAGCGCCTGCCAGGAGGCTCAGGGACCAAGGATTTGATCCCCAGGCCTGCCATGCCAGCCCCACCCACCCAGGGTGAGCTGAGGTGGTGACTGAGACTGGGTGTGGTGGTGCATACCTGTAATCTCAGCACTTGGAAGGCTGTAAACAGGAGAATGACTATGAGTCTGATCTAGTAGTGAGACCCTTAACACCCTGTACATCCTTCCCTAAAATACAGAAAAGAATTGTTCAATTGTTCAAAGACACAGACAAAAAATAGAAGAGAACAGGAGACTTTTCACAATAACATCCAAAAAACTGATATACTGAGAAATCAATCTCACAAAGGAAGTTAAAGATTTATACAAACATATACTACTCTGAAAAAAAGAGATTGAAGAGGACTTCAGAAAATGGAAGGATATTCCTAGCTCCTGGCTAGGAAGAATCAGTATTTTGAAAATGGCCATCATCCCACAATTGTTACACAGATTCAATGCAATCCCAATTAAAATATGACTAGTACACTTCACAGATCTGGTAAAAACATTCCTAAAATTCATCTGGAACCAGAAAAGACCTACAATAGCAAAAGCAGTCAGTCCTGGGTAAAAAGGAAATGCAGAAGGCATCATAATCTCTGACTTGAATTTATACTATAAACTACTGTGATAAAATCAGCAATGGTACTGGCAAAAAAAAAACCAGACCTGAGGATCAATGGAACAGATTATAAGATATAGACACACTCAGCCACCTTATCTTTGACAAAAGGGCCAAACATGTTCTCTGGAAAAAACATATTCTCTTTAGTAAATGGTGTTAGAAATTTTGGCTTTCCACATACCAAAAGCTTAAAATAGGACCATGCTTATCACCTTGCACAAAAGTAGTCAACATGGATCAAAGATTTAAGTATTAAAATAGAAACACTAAATCTTCTGGAAAATAAAGTACGTAGAAACCTTAAGGATATAGGGGTCAGTAAAGAGTTCACAAACAAAAATCAAACTCTGGGATCTCATCTTTTTGAAAAGTTTCTGCAAGTGCAAAGAAATCACCAACAGAGTAAAAATAAAACCCACAAAGTGGAAAACAATTATAGCAGACTGTCCATCACACAAAGCACTCCTACCTGGAGCATATAAAGAATTCTTTTTAAAAAATCAGGCCTCCAAAATTGAAAGACCCAATCCAAAAATCTGAGATAAACATAGATTTCAAAAATGAAGAGGGGCCAGAGAGACGGCTTAGTAGAGTAACGGGCCTGAGTTCAATCCCCAGTTCCGCAAAAAAGAAGAAAATGAAGAAATACAAATAATAAATAAATATATGAAAAATGTTCAACATCTTTGGTGATTCAAAACATACAAATTAAAACAATGCTAAGATACCACCTTACACCAGAAAGAATGACCATCATCAAGAAGTCAATCAATCACAAATGCTCATGAGGTTGTGGGGAAAAAGGAACCCTTCTCCTCTTGGTGTGAGTACAGACTGGTATACCCATTAGGGAAATCGGTATGGAGATTCCTCCAAATGGTAGGATTAGAGATCCCATTCAAGCCACCTATTCCCCTTCTAGGTATTTTTCAAAAAGAACTGAAATCATCATACCACAGCGATATATGTGCACCCATGTTTGTAGCAGCACAACGGTCATAGCTAAATCTTGGAAACAATCCAAATGTCCATCAATTGAGGAATGGATAAAAAAGATAAGGTATTTTTACACAATGGAGTATTATTCAGCTATGAAAAAGATAAATTTGAGACTTTTATGGATAAATGGATATAGCTAGAGACTATATTTGTAAGTGAAATAAATCAAATTCACTTGTGTGAATTTCCTCAGTAATATGAGAACCTGAAAAAATAACTAAAATCTAAAAAGTACAATAGATACTATCTTGGTTACTCTTTTTTGGCTGGGACAAAATACCCAACAACCAAAATTAAGGAAGGAACAGCTTACTTAACTCATAGTTAGTGAAGGTTTCAGTCTACACTTAGCTGGCTCCAAGGCAGAGAGACACATGGCAGAGGCAGCAGTTCACGAAGGCAGAAAACAGCCAAGATCAAAGGCAAAAGGGAGGTGTAACAGAACAGACAGCAAGTCTTGTCTCCCTTATGTTGTGTTTAGCCTATCTGCCCCATGGGTACAGCACTCACACCCATAATCCCAGCACTGGCTCATGAATTAATTGCAAACTTTTGAAGCCACCTCATGACTGCATGAAGCTTTTTAGGGACGAGACACAAACCAAAACAGATACTGTGAAAGGGAAAGAACTTAAAAGGAGGGCTACAAGGAAAGCCAACATTTTGGCCCTAGCCTTCTAAGGTCAGTTAAGACTCAGGACATATGAGAACTTGTACTGTAACGTCATGTACCTCGGTAGTGTCCCAAATTTTCTGATCAAGAAGATTATGGGGCCAAAGAGGAAAGTGATCGATGAGGTAGAGTGTGCCTAAGGAGAGTCACATGGGGAGAAGACACTCTCTCAGGCTTTCACAGAGAGCACATTGGCCAAGCATTGGCCGTGACTCATCCACATGGCTGACACTGACAAAGGTTCTACAATCTGAGGTACAGGATCTCAGAATAAATCCTGAGGGCATTTCACTGACCTTCTCAGACCAAAAAGCTACAACTCTTGTTGCACAGGTCCTGCTTTACCTTGGTCTTAACCATCCAGTAGAAAAGTATGAAGACGAAATATAGGAAGTAAAGCCATGTTGTTGTGTTGAGCTGTGGGGGACTCAGGTCAATAATTTCTGACATTGCCAGTTAAACAGAAGACCCAATGCTATTATGGGCTACTGGACTCTTTTAGAATATTTTGCTGAGTTTACACACCTATAATATTCAACAACGGAACTTAAAAAAATTGGGATATAACTATGAATGACCATTTTGTATCTGTGTATTCAAAGTGGTTGGGATAGTTATATAGTTGCATTCTCTTAATGAATAGAATGATTTGTTCTAATGGTGTTTGTAAGTAGGATCACAAGTCTGCATCTTGTACAGCAATTAACCACTAAGAAGAATATATGCAGTGTATTACTTCTTGAAACTGTACTTTTGATTTGATTTGAAACTGTCTCATTGATATATGTTTATCAATAAAACTTTGAAAAAAAAAAAAAAAAAGAAAGGGAAAGAACTTGTTCAATGAGAAGGAAAAACCAGGATGAAGAAAAGGACAAATGAAAGACATGGAAAAGATATATTTAGGTATATTGCAGAATAGTTTGTATAATAAAATTGTTGATTTCTGCTGGTCTTTTAAAAGCAGCAGTTAATGCTCAAATATTTTTTACTTTGATTTTTTTTCCTCTTTTGAATTTCTTATAACTTTTTTGTTATTGTTTTGTTTTTCCTTAAACAAAGCTTACCTGTTTATATCTGGTAATCTGAACAACTAAATGTGAAGAACATGTAATAGAACAACCATTGTTGAATTCCTATTACATAGCTTAGTGAAATCTTGTATTATTTCTGGGTTTTTTTCTATCACTATTTTGTATTCTTTAGAAATAAAAATTTGAAAGAAAAATATATACAGTACAAATTCCACATGATGAATTTTTTTGTGATGTATTTAGTACAGGGTCTACAGGGTCTCACTACATAGATCAGACTCGGAGTGATTCTCCTGTTTTCAGCCTCCCAAGGGCTGGGATTACAGGCACGTGCCACAATGCCCAGTCTCAGTCACTGTCTCAGCACAACCCAGGGGCAAGGCCAGCATGGTATGCCAGGAACTGAATCCCAGCCCATGCGCTCTATCTAAGCAAGATGCTTTAGTCCACTGAGCTATCTGGCTGGCTCTCGTATGATCAATGTCATCATGTTTATCTAAAATACACCAATAAAGTAAAAGAAAGTTTTAAAGGAGAATATATTCAAGGTATTTGGAGTTCCTAAATACTGAGTTTTAGCTCCAGTACACATTAAATCCACTTACAATTACATCTTTATATTCAATGTAATTTAGTTGACTATAACTTCTGTCCCCTCTCATTACTACAGTTAATCAAGAATTATAACACATGATGGTACACATATAATTCTAGCCAGAATAGGAAAGTAATTCATTAAAATATCTTTAAATATAAAATATATCATAAAATATACATATCTGTTCTGTTCCTCTAAAAGAAACCCAAAATGTACTTATATAGTCACTTTATAAGACTAAAATGCCAAAGTTACTTTTACTTTAACAAGACATCAAAAAACATAAGCTATGATCAACCTTTTAGAAAGCTGTGATTTTCTTAGCTCTTTACTAAAACTAAATGCATCTTCATTTACACTTTGGGGATTCTAAATCCCTATACTATTCAATAATGATTTGTGAAATATTCTTTATCTCTAAATAGTTTGACTCTATTCTATCATATCATATATAAAATTTTTCCTAAAGAGTAAATATGCCTTACCTTTTTCAGGAATACTAAAGAGCTGGGAAGAATAATATCTTTATGTGTGTTTCTTCTTGTGTCTTATGTTTTATTTGAAATTGTACAGTTTACCAAATCTTACCTCTGCTGGATGCTGAATTATATACAAGTGAGTAGAGATGTGCAAAGGATGCACTGGTAGAAATGGACACAAACACACTTTCTGAGGTCGGCTAGAGTAAAAAAAAAAAAAAAAGAAAGAAAGAAAAAAAAAGGAAACCTGTAAATTTTTTTTAAATACAATGATATATCCTAACTCTTGAACATGATCTATGTTATGTAAAGAGATCTGAAAAGTTCCATTCTTTTCAAAATGAAACACTAAAAATGAATTTAACCAGATTGAGACATGAAAATCTGGGAAGAAACTGAAGGACATTTTTTGAAGTAAGAATCCATAAAGTAAATTTACATAAGATACTGCAAAAAAATCTTATCTCAGTTATCATCAGTGGAAGAGTATACACAAAGTCCTTTTATTCATGAAGTAACACTTCTACTTTTCATTTCAAGTCAAGAACAGATTTCACTTCAAAAAGAAACCAGGAAATTTTCTTTTATCATTTCAAGTTAAAAGGAACATGAAGATAAATTATTAATATGACTTTAAGTACCACCTGGAAAAGAATTCTAATCAAATCCAGCCATCAATCAAGTAAAAGAGCTCACCAATTATGAGAAGAAATTCAAATAGAACCCACTAGATCATATTTATCCAGTATTACATCCACAGAGTATCCACTTTTTCCATTTGTTTCCCCCTTTACTACCATTACTTTGTGACTTTTTTTTTATTTACTTTTTAATGCTCTGTTGTTTGGGTAACTCATATGCAGAACAAAATTCAAATAGAATAAAAAAAAATACACCATCCATCTCAGACCTCCAACATGAGGTGTTCTTTTCCTAGGGGCAACAACAGTTCAGTTTCTTGGGTGTCCACTCAAAGGTATTGTATAAATAAACACAGATATATTATCAGTAAGTCCTATATTGGGGCTGGGTAGATAGCTCAGTAGAATAAGCGCTTCCCTGGCAAGCGCAAGGACCTGAGTTCAATCCCCAGTTCCACAAAAAAAAAAAAAAAAAAAAAAAAAAAGAAGGTCCTATATTGATGAGCAAGTTTATAATGGGAAATTCATCTGATCTCAAATACTATAGGATAGGAGGCAGGGGAGATGGCTCAGTGGAATAAGTGCTTCTCTGACAAGCTCAAGGGCCTAAGTTCAATCCCTGGTTCCACCAAAAAATAAACAAACAAATAAATAAAATACAATAGGACTGAATTTTTCACACCAGATCACTATTAAAGGCAGATATGACATGCTATACAGATGAATATGAAAGTAAAAGGAATTCCCATTAATATACTATTATAAACTGACCACTGCCAATTCTTTCAACTTCACTTATACAGAGTTACAGCTTAAGATAAGAAATGTGGATGTTACGTAAAAAAGTATAGTGTGAGCAAATTGGCTCATATACACATTATAATTATTCATTCATTTTCTAAGAAACCACCAAGCCTATGCTCCTACTGAAGAAATTACCTACATCAGCCCTGTCTGTAAGCTAGTAATAAAAGCCCATAAGATCATACACTTTTAAGGATTTTTTAGGATTCAACTGTATGATGCTCTACCAAGGCTATATGCAACAACAGAACACAGTGTACAGGAGAGCACAGCACAGTACTAACTCTCCCTCTTGGGCTTACCATACATAGGTAAAGCAAAATCCTCATGAATCATTCATTACCTGCACTTGTGCAATTTGGGGAATAACATGCAGCAATGATCTACAACAGTATTTCAATCTACCTACATGTGTGGGTGCCTGTGTGTGCTGTTACTAAGCAGGTAATGCTGCCTGGTCTTTTGGATAGAGTCCACTGAAACAGACAAGTAAGTTTTATTATTTAATTCTTAAATTTCATGCTATTTTATAAAATAACTTTACAAGTTAAAACATAAAAAGAAAATTTTGTTACATACATTAAATATATTTTATACTTTATATGCAATCCAAGGCAGTTTCTCACCATTCAACACAGCCAGGACAAGCCAAAAGCTTGCGGACAACCACAACGAAGATAGAGAGTATCCTAGGCAGAGGCAGAATATGATCCACCTCCTTCCTTCTCTGAACCTGGACTAAAAGATTAACCCAAGGGAAATCAGCACATCCAATTCCCTGTGACCTTTGAGATGATTCAGCACAACTGTTCTGCCCCACACTGGATTTGCCCTTAGGAAAGTAGGTAGATTTATACAGATAGACAAGTCTTTCTATGATCACAAGGGTAAAACAAACACACACCGACTGTGATGAATGGAACTGAGCAGCTGACAGAAAGAGGGCAACTGTAAGGACTGACTCCTAATTCAGAAAAGAATGAGTAAGGTAAAATACAATCCAAACCTAAAAACTTCAGACTATTTTTTATACTGCTTCAAAAGTATAAACTGAAATGATCTACAAAATTAATACAGAATGTAATAGAAGAATCAAGTAAAAACTGCTGTTTTGGGTCCAGGGAGAAGGCTCAGTAGAATAAGTGCTTCCCTGGCAAGCACAAGGGTCTGAGTTCAATCTCCAGTTCTGAAAAAAAAAAAAAAAAAAAAACTTGCTGTTTTTCAAAACTACCACTGGAGAATCTAAAGTTGTACCGTAATAATACTCTAATGTACATATGGTGGAGTTCAACTTTGAATTTTTAAAAAATCCTACACAAAGCTTGGATGGGGAAAAAGCCACTGAGACTACAAATATTAGCATTAATCAACCATAATTAACATTAGATTAACTAACATTAATATTTTTTAACATTAACAGATCACAGTCATAACACATAGCATCCCATGCTACCACACTAACATTTTCCCTAAAAGAGTGATTTTTAAACTTTAGTAGACAAAGTTTATAATTTATTAGCATTTGGAAATTTGTTGTGTACAACTTGTTTATTAAACTGAGTTAAACTTCTACTTATTTGGGAAGCCTCAGAATAATATAAAACTTCTATATCATTTAAGCCCATCAGTGGTATAATAAAATCAATTTATACAAACTGTACTTTGTAAACTCTGTAAAGATAAATAATTTGCCCTTAATGGACTCAGCAAAATAGTCCAATGAAACTAATTTTTAAATAATAAGTTGAACTGAAATATTGTGGCCTTTTAGAATGAAATTGTAAAAATCTACAACTCTCCCCAGAAATCAAGTTATCTTCATATCAAGAAACCATTAGGAGGGCCAGGGAGATAGCTTAGCAGACTAAGCTCCTGCTTTAGCAAGAGGAAGGACCAGGGTTCAATCCCTGGTCCCGCATGCCACACCAGCCCCACCCCTGGGGCATGCTGAGCACACCTGTAATCCCAGTTCTGGAGAAGCTCAAAACAGGAGGATCACTAGGAGTCCAAACTGCATAGTGAGATTATGTACCAAATACATAAATGGGTGGAGGGGGAGAAAGAAACCATTAAGAATGTTTAGCAACTGTGCTTTAAAACTCTACTAAAAGTTGGTTGTCTGGAACTGGGTTAGCTTCTTAACTAACACACCAAAGTCAATTAGACCCATAAATCTGTGCTATGTTCAAAACGCTTTAAGCACAGAATTTAATCAGGATCACAGTGCTCACAGTCCAGAACAATCCTCTCTCCTCTTGTTTCCAAGTTTTTCTTAGTGAACTCCAGGCTTGAATTCACTTTTCCATTATAGTGAATGAAAAAAAATGTCTATATATTCCTATTTACACTTGTACTGTCATATCTGCCTCTCTTCCAGTGAACCCACCTAAGAACAGGCTTTGCTTGGTACTTGACTTGGTCCCTCTAGTACTCTTTTTCAATTGCCTAAGAATCACCAAGGAAGGCTCATTAAACTAAATTTCTGAGCCCCACCAATTAGAGCTTCTGACTCAGTAAGCTTTAGAATTTGAATTTCCACTAAGTTCCCAGGCAGAGCTGATGCTGTGGATGGCTGAGCAGTGAGGACATTGAGGATAGAAGGACCACAGTCTGAGATGCAAGTCCCTAACAGAGTTCATCTCAGTAGTTTGTTTTTCCTTCAAGTGTTCTGAATTCATTTATACCTAAATCCTGCCCACTAACTTCTTCTCGTACCTGAAAATTAGAACAACCTGATGAATTCTTTTGTTTGTCAGTTTGGTTGATTGGTTGGTTGGCTGGTTTTTGTTTTTTTGAACAGAATCTTACTATGTAATTCAGGTTGGCTTTAAAAGTCACTAGATCGCCCAGGCTGGTCTCAAATTCACAGCACTCCTGCATTTACCTTCTAAGTTCTGGAATTACAAGCATGCACCACCACAGCTATCTTAATGAACTTTTATGAGTAATACACAACAAAGTATAGAGAAAATAGTCACACTATTTTCCTGTATATGAAAATAAGTCCTTTTCAAATTAAAGAGCTCTAGACAACACTGCATGTGATAAAATTACCTGACTGAGGGACTGTATATAAACTGGAGAACTATAATGACCTGTTTGGGAAACCATACTTAGGTCTTCTCTGAATTAGAATCCTCACTACTTCTACAAAGTTATAACAGATGCTGGCTCACGGAAATGTGAAACTATTACCATAGGCAGGTGCCCACTGTCACCCAGTGTGCAACATGACATCTAACTGAACTGGACTACTATTATGTTAGGCTACTTAAGGACTGCAGCAGAAAATACCTAAGGTTGTTCCAATGCAAGCTGGTGTCACACACAACCTAAATTGTCTTATGCACCTGTAGTCTGGCTACTGGCATTGTGCCTGGTATCACATCACAGGTATATGCAAGGCTTGTCCGAATGGCTCTTTCTAAAATAATCTAAATCTTCTCCCACTGTTATTCTCAATTCCTGCATTCTCTTCACAGAAGTTTATCACTGTTTGACATTATATTATCAGAATGTAGGTTTTCTTTCCTACAATGTAAGCTACAAGAGAAAACACCTGCCCTACCTTTTCACTGCTATCACCCTAGCACTAGCAAAGTGTTCAAAAATATTACGAATACATGGAGTATCTTTACATTCCCTCTTACCTCTCTACCCTGAGACATTTTTCTTTTGAGCAATTTTCTAATCCATATATCCCTTTATTTCCAATTTTGATCTCTTCTTTATATCCTGCATAGTACTGAAGCAAT